TCAATCTTCTAACACGTGTAAATCATTTATTATTAATATTAAATTCCATAATAGCCTTCGATGGTTTAGATTTGGGAAATATCGTGTTCGCAGGTTTATTGCAATACGGAAAGATACAGTCGCACAGGCCGGTACTGCCTAAACTCGATCCGGATCTATGCAAACGCGGATCGTTATCGACGAGCTGTTTCAGGGCTGGCGACGGCCGCCTGGGCGAGCAGCCGGCCCTCACGTCTCTTCACGTGGCCTTTTTGAGGCTTCACAACAGAATAGCCACGAAACTCGCCGCGTTGAATGCCCACTGGAGCGACGAGAAACTATTTCAAGAATCCCGTCGAATCGTCGCCGCCGTTGTCCAGCATATCACTTATAGGGAATTCCTGCCCATTGTTCTCGGTAAAGGGTCACTTTTTCGATTAACCCTTTGAAACTTCGTTACGTATCTGTCGTTTCCAAGTCTGTGTATTTCCTTTTCTTAAACTCGGTTTATAAATTGTTTTCAAAGCTTTGAGAATTATTTTCGTCTACGGTTTCTCAAACACTTGAGGAATCGTTATGTTTTTAATACTACGTTATTAGTCGGTACCCGGAAAGTTTAAGAGATAGAGAAAAGTGGTTCGGAAATAGAAGCAGCTGCGATTGAAACATTCTAGGTCAAGACGTGATGAAAATATTCGACCTCGAGTTGCTGAAAAAAGGCTATTTCGATGGATACGACCCGGCTGTGAATCCGACTATAGCGAACGAGTTTTCCACGGCTGCCTACCGTTTCGGTCATTCCCTGGTGCAGAGCAGCTTCGTCCGGTACGACAGTAACCATCAGCCGATATTTAATAGTCAGTATTCATGGAACAAGATGCAATGAAACAACGCGGGTTGGCGGAATTGAAATATCCTTGACTCGTTCGTTTCGCAGACGTGTCGATCCACAACGAGTTGACCAATCCGGCAAATTTAGAGACAGCCGGATCGGTGGACCGTCTCCTTCTCGGTTTGATCAATCAACCGTCTCAAAGGAGAGATGAGCACGTGAGCGAAGAATTGACCAACCATTTGTTCCAAACTCCCAGCTTCCCCTTCGGGATGGATCTTGCTTCCATCAACATTCAACGAGGAAGGGATCACGGGATCCCGCCGTACGTCCAGTGGCGAGTGCCTTGCGGTTTGTCTCCCATAAGAAGCTTCGAGGATCTGGAAACCGCGATGCCACCGTCCACGGCGAGGAAATTTAAGTTGGTCTATTCGGCAGTAGAGGACATCGACTTGTTCACCGCGGGACTCGCGGAGAAGTCGGTGAAGGGCGGCTTAGTGGGCCCGACGTTCGCCTGTATAATCGGGCAGCAATTCAACAACCTGCGCCGCGGGGACAGGTTCTGGTACGAAAATTCCCAGCAGGAGAACAGCTTCACTCCCGGCCAGCTTCAGCAGATCAGACGAGTGACTCTGGCCCAGGTCCTCTGCACCACTATGGACGACATCGAGACCGTTCAACCTTTCGTCTTCTTAACCGCGGACACCTTGAAGAATCAGCGACTGCCTTGCAACGATCCGGTCGTTGGTCAACTCAATTTAGAATTCTGGGCGGAGGGATCGGCAGAGGTCAGAAGCAGGGCTGGTATTTTAGATCAAGTGAAGAAGAAGATCAGTATACCTGGTTTGACAACGCCGAAACCTGTTTCAACCACGGAGGAAGGCAAGTTCTTTTATCAGAGCATGGAACCACCGAAGGCGAGCGTGCTTCAGAAGAACAGGATCGTCGTGAAGAGACCCATCGGCACACCGGATAACGTCACTATAGTCGTACAAAATAACGCCATCAACTCGCCCGTGTTCGTGAACGACGCTATTCACGGGTCGATGATAAGGATAAATCCTTCGTTAAACCAAAAGGCACACCAGCCACCGATTCCCGAGGACTATCTGCCTGGTCCGAAACCCATTCCCACGACGCATCCTCTAGCGAGTATCAATCGCCCATATGCTTTCAGAGATCCGAACGACCCTAATCCTTTGCACCAAGGTTTCCTATCAGGTCACGTCGAAAACGACGTAATCTTTGAGCATCTGTCTGGGTCCAGTCCGAGACCAACGTTGTATACGTACTACACTAACTTCCAGAAGATGACGACGCAGAGGCCGCCGCACGAAGTGGACATGTACTTGGTGAACTATAAACCACAGGGTCAGGCGTCCAGACCAAATTCCTGGATCGAACCACAATATGAAAGCCAGTCTAAACCTCATTACGGTTCTTCAGAGAATCAGCACCTCAAACCTGTTTATGATGCTGAAAATGAACGATTCCAACATAACAGCCAGGGATATGGATCCCAAAATCATTTGCCATCTAGGCCTTCTTATATAGAAAATCGGCAACCCAGTGATAATCAAGAATATCAAAATCACAAATTTTCTAAACCTTTTAATACTCCACCGCATAGTAATCAAGGATACGGTACGAACACTTGGCAAAAAGTACAATATCAGCAATCGAGTTATAATAAAAAACAACAAGACGTCGTAAAAGATTCGGGAAACGGTTACACGACATGGTCTAGCGTGTCCCCTGATAAGAACACGATTGATAGGGTGACCGATCAGCAAATTTATTTAATCAGCCCCCCTTATCAGTCGAGTAACAAGCCTACGCAGACTGTTTCCACGTATCAGAGAGAACCTACCAAACCAAGCATCGATCACAACAGTTACATCAGCTCTTCTACGAGACCGAGCCTGAGTCAATTCGATAAAAATCCAAACATTTATGATAATCAACACGATTATGGCAACGCTTTCCATCAATCGACTCCCGTTTACAAGCCCGGTTATCAAACTAATCGATCACCGGAGGCTTATCAGACTCTCACGCGACCGAAACCGTCTAAGATTCACAGCGTGACTATCGTGACGGAACCATCGGAAACGATGAGTCAGGCTGAGATCGACAGAGTGGAGAATCGAGTCACCAGCGAAATTCCCAGGCCGTTGATTTCGCAGGCGGGCAACAACGGAGTGAGGAGGCCCGGTCAATACTATTACGAGAAAAATGTGTTACATCGGTACCCGGAAAGCCAGACAGAGAGGTACAATGGTGAAGAGAGGCATAAGCAGCTTAGCGACATTTCCTTAGAAAACCAATCCACCTTCAATAATGAAAGCAGCGCAGATATTGACGCAACCGTGAATCAAACGAGATACGCATTATCCGACAGTGCGGATGATGACGACGTCGATCGAGGTGTAGGCGAAACATTCTTGGGAAACGGTGCTCCGAGATACAGGTATTCTTTTATTACTCTCGCATAATCGCGTGTTCATTCTGCGCGCGTGTGCAGTTTTAAATTCGCTTTGCTGGCTTGCAGGTGATAACGATATCTTATATTAATTGCTATGTACATTAGATAACCGAATAGTTTATTAGGGATTGAACAAGATATTAATCTCTTTGTGCTTGTTTCGAGAAAGTTCAATAATAAAATTGCGTTGCAATTTATCACTGCCCGTACGAGGTATCCATTTGAAATACCGATTAATTATGTTTTATTTTTGAAATACTCGATTTCGATAAAATTGAAAATTTTATTATAGAGAAGTCTTGACCTACAGAAAGACAATCTTTTCTTTTCCCTCGTGTTTCAGAACGAGCCATTGGTTGAACCCACAAGAGGACTCGAGCTTGCCGTCAGCTCCGGAGGTGCCAAAAATTCCATCGGACAAAACCGCAGCAGCCAGAGAATTGCCTAAGCCCATTAAATTCAGATATCACGGTTCCTAAATCCTGTTATTCCTATCTTTTGCAATCCCAGATGATTCGTTTCAATTCTTTGTTAAATAATGACTCACGCGTATTTATTATTTCTTCGAATATTGTTCTTCGCCACGTACAAGGAATTACGATGTTTCGCAGCCTTGAGATTTAATCAGAGATAAGAGGTTGATAGTGCGACGTTATTTATGCATATACGATTCATTCGGATCGAACAATTGACCGCGCGTAGAGATGCCGTAGAGTCCAGGTGGGACGTAGCCTAGTTTTACGCCAATTTTAAACCGTATCTCTCTCCGCAGTGACTAGAACCACTCCGGGACTATTTTCAGACACGGCTTCGCCCGTGTCACTGCTTTTCATACACGCCACGTCTCGGCACCGTTAATTGCAATTCGCACCTGTACATTCATTAGGAAAAGAATAAACATTGAACCTCGTTAGCAGCCAAATAGAATAGTGAAAATAGTATGCTCAGCTCGTTATCAAATTGGCAAACAGAGTAATCATATTTTCATCGCACACGGATATTGTTAAACAGTATACATGATTAATTTCATTAATTTATCGCACAGATTAAGAATTATTCCGATTTATAGGCGAATCGGATATTTAACAGATTGACGTTTGCTTGTTTAATGATTTCTCAACACGGAGCGGACGGTCATTCCCGCGAATCTCGGATATGATTTATTTAAAGCGGACCGAGTAGACAAAGGAATGTTGGGAAAGTTTCCTGTCTCATCGCTGGGAAAAGAAGTTCCCAAGGAAGTTGTGTCCCGTGAACAAAGCCGCCTGAATTATTCGAAGAGCCAGCCGCGTTGTTTCGCGTCGCCGAGAAAATTCGGTCTTTAACATACCCTCGAGTAGACAACACGTCGAAGGAGACAGCAGTCGTTCAAGTTTCGAGCACTGCTGGCAAAAGTTTTTACCTCGGCTACGATAATCCTGAGAAAGATAGAAATCCCTCATTCCTTCGTCAAAAGTTTCAGTTTCTGCTCGGCGACCAAACAGGAGATCGATACCCTTTGGGATGCTGCAATTTTTCGTAGCAACATAAAAGAATCCGTTTCGTCGATGATAATGGAAATGACGTATTGAGAGGAGAGGTGGAAGATATGAATGGGAAAACTTCGCCTGGGGGGGCAGATCCCTGCAGCAGGTCGCTAGGCAGCAGTTTCCGGGTCACCAGAAAACAGGCAGCGGCCGATCGAAACGTAGTTTTCGATGCCACGACCTGGATCCAGTGTCCCTGCGGTTTGGCTGCGTGTTAACCGAATCCAACCGACGAGAAACTCGGTTACAAGCGAACCAGTATCGTTCGATCGTTTCAATATATTCGCCCGCGCAATATTTGCGTGTACCGAGCGTGGATAACGAAATCGTAGCGTAAGGGAATTGCGGCAATGTTTCCATCGTTTCGAAAGCGGTCGTTATTAAGTTCCACTCGCCAATACCGTGGAACTTTCCTCTTAATTACACCGATCACTTTTTGCCGGTAGACTCTCCCGCTTTTTTCTCTCCCGTCCGATTAAACTGGTCTTTAAAAGTGGACCTTTCTGTGAAAGCTTGGCCAGCCCGTTATGGGACGACACGAATAAAACTCGACTGCTTGTTATTGCATCTTGAAATTCTTTTTTCCCCGCTTCCTTTATCGGAAACATCTTTGTTTCGATATACTCCATGGAACATTTGACAGCACTGGAATTTATCGAAATTATAACTTAAGAATTTTATATCGCTAAAATGGCAAACTCCAACCAATATCTATTAAGACCACAAGATTGATTACATTTCATATCACCCAATCCAGGCAGGATTATTACACGAAATGGATAGGAAATCTCGTCACGTATTATTCCGTATGATGACAATTTATATAATTAATACCAATTTATAATTGGCAAGAAATTAAATAAATTGTCAAATCATTCACAGAGTTATACTGATTATCAAAACGTTATAGATTCTGATAAAATAAAGTAGTATAATTTATCACTAATAGGACAATGAGACTTCGGAGTTCAGACGAAAGTCATAATCTTCACCGTATGAACTATTATTATAGAAAGATTAAACAGTCTAAGAATGTTGTCTTGTTTGTTTGATTAAATTAATTACATTGTATTCGCGATGAAAGGAGAAGCAAGTTTTACACGGTGCAAGATACGCCACGATTCTCACGGCAATTTATAGTTGCTGCAGCTTTGCCTATAATTACCGCAGGAAAACAATCATCGTAAGAAAGGGCTTGTAACACTAGCTAATTAAGAATACGATCTTCTACGATGAAGTGACAAGGATACCGTTTCAAACTTGCGGGAATAATTCCGTCTCTGCGTTCATCTTCAGGATTGGAGAATGTAGACCAATCGCATTTGACCGCGAGGATCAACCTCCGTTCCAAACGTGAACGAAATAATTTTACATATTTAAGTAATTAGTGTCGTACTTTAATTATATTGACAGCTCGAAGGGAATTAATTGATATAAACATCCAGTGACATAGGTGAAGATTGAGGTGGAGGTCAGAATTAAAATGTTTCGATGAAATTGAGTAAGTAGGTTACATTTCAATTATAAAATACTGTGACACGAAGAACGATACAATTATAAATGAATTGTGTAGAGACGATTACAGATTAATAGATAATTTGTAGAAGGGACGTACAGATCTGTAAGATTACAGAAAATAGAATAGGAGAATAAGTATATTCGAGTGAGACATAAGAATAATTTCCGCACAAACAGTTGAATTCGAGATAGTTGTATCGAATTAAATAAACTAAAGAAATCGAGTGAGAAGACGAGGTCGTTGAACGATAGGAACGGGCGGACCGAGAACCAAGTGACACGGTGCGACGTGACGGGTTATGGTGGGGAGTTCGATTCCGCGTGCCGCCGGAACGGGCCGAACACGAACAGTCAGTTCGTAGCGGCGCGTCCCCGGCGCAGGTCGCTGAACAATGGTTGCGGTGTTACCTCGCGTATCTCGGCCAAACGCCGTTACGTTGTGTCACAATGGATTCGCGGTTCTCTGGCTGCTCGCCGTTTTACTGGTGTCCCGTGTTAACTGCGAGGAGTCGTTGTCGAATCGGATGCGTGGCATCAGCCAGGACCTCGACCGGCAGCTGAACGTGATAATGGCATCGCAGGCGTTGAACTACACGACGGTGAACACGTACGGGCTGCCCTACAACGCCACCACGAAGTTCGACCCCAAGGGCATGGGACAGCTGTACAACGTGACGAACATGTTCATCGACTTCGTGCAGAACAAGCAGGCGTATCCCGAGGGTGAGTCCACTCTTCCCGATTCTGTATCGCTTTATTTTGGACAGCGGCGACAGCAGTCAGAGATTGGTAGGGGTTAGGGACAGATTTTACCTTGGCGGCCTTGGTTACGCCCTGCACCGCGCGGTCTCGAAAATGGCCGGCCGCTTGTTGGTAAACAGACAGATCGCTGTCAAAAAACCGTCGCGGTAAAACTAAATCCATCGCGATATGCAGTGGAAGTACTTATAAACTGAGCATAGATATCTCGGAGAAGTATTCGATATCGTTGTGTCCTTTTAGATTGAAAATTGCGAATCTGTATAGATGTAGATTAATAAGATTATTTATTTTGTATCTGATATTGGAAAATCATTACATCCCATTCGAAATTGCTGCAGAAAAAATAAAATTTTATTGATTAATATTTGTAAAATTAAATTATTGAGAACAGTTCATTTAAACATTTTCATGCTCACTTTCGGAATTCTATGGATTTCGTTAATAGAGAAATTTGATAAGGGCTCGTGTTTACCATTGGCAAATTTCAGACTGGTCATCGGTTAGTACATATTTCGTTAATAAATTCGCAATGGTATATCAAACATATAAGAACGTTTATCTAATTTAATCGTATCTCCTGTGCTTCCGTAAGCGCGGATAGACACGAAATTCGTAGAAGGAAAGATTCCTTTTACGTTATGAAAAAGAAAACGTCTCACGTTCTTCCTATCATAAACGAACTTATTCGGTCCGTATTTGCCGCGTTTACGATTATTTTGCGATTTTCTCACAGGAGTGACAGAAAAAGGATATCACGATCCATAATCACACAGCAAACAACGTCACTGTGTTCATTTACGTGAAAATTTTGCCATTTCCGAATTTTCTGTTGGTAAATCCCGGATCTCTGAATTTCTTGACACTCCGTCTCGTTCCTGGATCGTGCAGATGCTCGAGGAGTTAAAATAATCAACAGCACATGAAACTGTGTCGATCGTAGAGGAAAAAAGACGATAACAGGCTGAACTATCCGGATCAATGACCCTTTCGTCGCGTTTAACATAGGAACAGGGCCCTGCAGCGCATCTATATCAATTCTAACAGGAAGTTGATAGCGGGCGAGCGTTCGTCATCGTCTAACACACTTTGACGTCGCGTTTCATTCAGCTCTTTTCCAATGCTTTTTCCCTCTATTCTCGTTCTCGTCAGACGTTCGCCGCTACCCTTCCGTTCCGGAAGAGCATCGACAAGGCAAAGAGAGCTGCCTGTCGATGATCCGTTTATTAAACCTGACAACAGCGACTCTCAATTTGCGTTTCGTTTGCTCCGAGTATCGATTAAAATGCCACCCAACCTCGGGAGCACCAACGAGTCCTGAATTTAAAATTAGTTCAGACAGATTTTCACGTTATAGTTTCAGTTTATACAAGCTTTCTGGTAGAACCATTTTGCTTCGAATCCTAGTCTTTAATCAATATCAATTGGTTTTAAAAATTGATCGTCTTCATGTCTCTTGATTTCCTTGCATTAATAAGACGTATTTTAAAGCCCATCTTAGTGATTGAAAAAAATGATTGACTCGATTCAGGCCATTTTAACATCACGCCTACGATAATACACACACAGTCTCTGCTGAAATTATAGCTGCAATTGATAAAGATTGATCGATAGCCTTACTTACACCGGACGCTAGATTTCTTACTCGCCGATCGAGGATGTCGATTCGTGCGCAGATTTATGCTGGCACGTGAGAGTCGTCCGTTGTATAGCCACTCGGTCGAGTCGCAGAAATTATGATAGCGCGGATCCACGCTCGAATCGCTTCCAGGCTAGAAGCAGCCGATTTTCTGTTTAATAGTTCGTGACGAGTGTCTCCCCTGGTACGCGACTCGCGGCCGCCTTTTTAATGTATATTTATCCACTGGAAGCGGGTTAACGAGCGCGCGAATTATGCATACGTGGCGACGCGCGGTACACAAATTTTTGAACACCTGAATTTTCTAATATTTAATTCCGGGCAAATGCTGAGCGTGCAACTGTGTAGACAGCTGAGAGGACGTTGCAGATGTTCTTAATTAAAATATGTGAACACGCTGTTTAAAGACGTGGACTCCGATAGCGATAAGGCAGAAGGTTAATGTTATCCACAAAATTAATAAGAATTATAATGTGTAAAACCGAAATTATAACAATAATAATTTAAATATCTCTTTATTAATTAATGTAGTATAAAAAATGCAATTCGATTTCAAGACGTGTTTATTTGTCAGTTTCTTGGTTCCAGATTTTGTTAACTGTCCGAATACTCGGTACACGGTTTCGCAGATACCTTTTATCGTTTTGGTAGGGACAAATGGATCAGAAGTTTTATTGGCCAGGCAGAGATGCTTCTATTACTTCCGCGCCATGTGCAATTGCGTTTTATTAGCAGTTATTGTTTCATGAGCCAGGCGACCGACGTTTTGTCTTCGCTTATTTTTTTTTCGCAATTTCTTGAGACTTTCCAGTGACCTTCCGTTATTGCAGATGACCGATTCCTTCTGTCACGTTCTAAATCCAACTCGTCGAGTAATTTGCTTTTGTGTCTATCGGAATAGACGAATCGACGCTTTCGAATCCCACGTGTATTGTTTTCATAATTGGACTCGTTTTCTTTGTTATTGAATGTTTAAAACGACGATCAAAGTTATCAGTCGTTTAAAACGACGATCAAAGTTATCAGCAACTTACAAAGTAATGACTATAAAGAAATATGTAATTACTAAATTAAATGACGAATTTTATTATTTTCAAAAAAATAGAGAATTTTATCGAAAATAATTGAGCATCCTTGTGGTATTGATTTCAATTCCAGCTCGACGTAGTGTATTATGAGCTACTAAAACCGACTGAAACAATCACAGGCGATCCGTATCGAAAACAATTAATGCGTTTGAGCCGAGCATTGAAAGACAAACGGTCGTAATACATCGATAGACACGATAAAGTGATTTTGCAGCATGACAACGCTCGACCACATGTTGCAAAACAGGTCAAAACATACTTAAAAATGCTCAAATGGGAAGTCCTATCCCATCCGCCGAATTCTCCAGACGTTGCTCCCTCTGACTATCATTTGTTTCCATCAATGGCACACGGCCTGACTGACCAGCACTTCCGTTCCTATGAAAAAGTAAAAAATTGGATCGATTCGAGGATCGCCTCAAAAGATGATCAGTTTTTTTGACTCGGGATTCGTCCGCTGTCCGAAAGATGGGACAAAGTAGTGGCCAGCGATGGACAATACTTTGAATCGTAAATGTAACCACTTTTGACGAATTTTAATATCTTCAAAAAAATAGAGAATTTTATCGAAAATAATTGAGCATCCTCGTGGTATTGATTTCAATTCCGTATTATTTATTATTTCGGAATATTCACGACTCTGTATTTGATAGGACTAGCTCGGCGTAGTGTATTATGAGCTACTAAAACCGACTGAAACAATCACAGGCGATCCGTATCGAAAACAATTAATGCGTTTGAGCCGAGCATTGAAAGACAAACGGTCGTAATACATCGATAGACACGATAAAGTGATTTTGCAGCATGACAACGCTCGACCACATGTTGCAAAACAGGTCAAAACATACTTAAAAATGCTCAAATGGGAAGTCCTATCCCATCCGCCGAATTCTCCAGACGTTGCTCCCTCTGACTATCATTTGTTTCCATCAATGGCACACGGCCTGACTGACCAGCACTTCCGTTCCTATGAAAAAGTAAAAAATTGGATCGATTCGAGGATCGCCTCAAAAGATGATCAGTTTTTTTGACTCGGGATTCGTCCGCTGTCCGAAAGATGGGACAAAGTAGTGGCCAGCGATGGACAATACTTTGAATCGTAAATGTAACCACTTTTTCATAACAAAGCCTCGATTAAAAAAAAAAAAAAACGGTGGAAGTAAAGAAGGCAAACCTATATAATAACATAGTTCGTATGTTATAGTATGGATTTGTTGGTATTCACGTTGTGTATTATAGTTGTAGACTCATTTTTGTCTTCAGATAATGTTCTAGTGTTTATATCAATATTTGCTGCAGTGATTAGATCGTTACAGAGAACTCGAGCAAATTCATTTATCTGGAATCATAAGTCGACCTGTTTTACTAACTATGCCAGAAGTCGAACAAGTTACTATTCAATATTTGTACCCAGAACTCTGATAAGTTCGCCACCCTTACAATTCCTGGTTTCTCGTTCGTTTGAAATTATTTAATCCTCATCCGTATTTCTACTGACTTAATTCATACATAGAAGAATTATACTATAATAATTTTGGAAAATACATATTTCGGAACAAAAATTTTAACCAACCCTCAGATATTAACGTATGAATTTTTTTTGAGAATTATTTGTGAATTTAGTACAAGGAGCCTGTAATGTGTTGTTGTTAATGTTTGCCGCGTGCCATTTACCGAGTTCCTCGTTGTTTCGATTTTAATTTCGGCGGTCTCCGGTCGCTCGCAATTTATCTTTGATAACGGTCTATCGAAATTCCTGGGGCTTCAATCTGTTGCCGGTCGCACCGTGCGGAGCTAAAAATGAGAGAAAGTTCCGGCCGGTTCGTTCGGAAATGCGCGACGTGCAGAGAGCCGGGATGAAAAGTTGTTGGGGTGATTTATACACGAGCCGCGCCGCTGATGCGATGCAGACCTCGATATGCAACGTACGCCGGGCCGAGAATTGGAAATTTTCTGTGACTCCAATGCGAGACGTGATATTCGAAATTCTGTTTAAAATTATCTACTTAAAAATAGTTCCCCGGGGGGCGCACAATTAGTAGATTAGAGATTTGGTAATCTCATCTCGGAGTGGCTGGCTACAATTAGATAAAATGTCGATAAGCCACTTTTAAAACTGTTTAGATTAGAGGGGAAATTATGCAACTCAATTTGCAGCTTGCCAATTATTCGTTTACCTTTTCGAACTTCTCTCGTTTATCTATCTCGACTATCTGATAGTCACTATCCTATCGTCT